GGGCGTTTTTTTTTTCTGTGGGGCAGCCTGTTGCTGGGGGGGGGGGGCAGCCTGTTGCTGGCAGGGGGATGAGGGGGGGGGCAGCGGGCGTGGGGAGGCACTTTTCCTCTGCCCGGCAGCTCTGCGGGACCCCAGTCGGAGCCGGCCCGAGGAGGAGGAGGATCCTAGGACCCAGGTGAGCGAGCCCCGGGAATGCTGCTGCGCATGTGCCGGAGTTGCCTCACCCCGTTCGTATCTAGGGATCCAACGTAAGTCGGATCCACGTAAGTCGGGGACTGCCTGTACAAAATTTTATTCTTGTGCACAAAACTACTTCAAAATTACAGCCATATTTAACTTGAATACTTTTGTATATATTTAAAGAAAACAAACACTTAAAGCCAGAAAAAACAACTAACAGGTGCCAAAAATTCAGTACTCTCATTGTTACCAGTGTTGTTTTAATCCTTGCCAGAGGATGTTGTGAAGACTAGGACTTTAACAGAGTTCAAAGAAGAGCTAGATAGATTTATGGAGGTTAGGTCCATCAATGGCTAGGATGGGTAGGAATGGTGTCCCTAACCTCGGTTTCTCTGGAAGTGGGAGACAGGGGAGAGATCATGTGGGGATTACATGTTGTGTTCCCTCCTTCTGGGGCATCTGGTATTGGCCACTGTCAGCAGACAGGATACTGGACTAGATGGACCTTTGGTCTGACTCGTTATGGCCGTTTTTATGTTATTATGTGACTGTTCTAAAAAGTTCCCAATTGAGAAGGATTATTTTCCTTGACCTCTCATGGGACAAGCAGCAATGGGTTTCAACACAGACTTTTATGGATAAAGCCTGTTTCCCCATTTACTTGCAACGTAGTCTGCCAGGAACTAGAACTATTATTACACTTTAACATGAACTACCACAAATGTGTAAGAAAATATGGGGAAAGTTAAAAGCTGCCTCTCCACACTGAGAATGTGAATTAATAACCATTTAACCAGTAAGCATCCTTAATGGGCGATGCTTTCCCATTACAGTTAACCAGTGGGCTGGAGCAGCCTCCTCCCCAACATGGGCAGTGAGCTGCTCCAGCCCAGAAGGGTCTACCGCTGGCAGGACCTGTGACAGCCAAGCTGGAGCACCCCCTGCCCAGCTGCTCCAGCCCACTGATTAGCCCTAATGGGTAAGGACACCTACTAAGGGTGATGCATACTGGTTAAACAGTTAACCCCCTACTCACACCTCCTTTAAGCGGTTAAACAATGTTCATCAGGTCAACTGACTGAACAGGATTTTATGTCCCTACTCCACACAATGGCTCCTGGCAACATTTGAGTCACAGATTACTCAATTTTCTGCTTTTCTGATTAACATAAATCAGAAATGTTTTACAGCTTCTTCAAGTCAGCTTCCTCACTATCTGTTTCAAACCATACATAATACAAAGGGGAAAAACAGATAGAAGGAAAAGGATGTAGTAGCAAGGATTTATCTTAACTGTCAGAAGACTGTACTGTTTTGATCTTCTAAAATGGAACATTCTGATGTAATCTATTAAGTTTCTAATTTGAATGGCCATCACAATTTTTATTAAGACTTCAAGAATATAAGAAGTTTTGCTACAGTGATAGACCTAAACTACACTTGTTTCAAGTGCCTGTGTAGCCAGACAGACCGCCCCCTCCCCATCTCATCCATCTTATTTACCTCTCTGAGGTTCCTGAAGCATACAGGGCAGAGAAGGAGCAGTAAAATCAGCATAGTCTATGCTGGCTCATCTGATCCTGAGAAGCTGAAAACATAGATATGAGGAGAGAGAGAGCGATTAAGGCAATAGGCTGGCCTCGAGGACGCGAGAACTGCCCAGGCTGGCACCCATGTTGATTCGAACACACACAGTCCCTGGGAGAGGAATTTCCCACTGAGAAAAGAATGCCCAGTACTTCAAATTTAGTTATCTCTCTTACAAGTGTAAATTAAGTTCACAACTCCCTTGTAAGAACTGGTCTCACAAAAGACAGACCAGCACCATTTGGCATGACAGACAAGAAAGAGAAATACGTGACCCCATGGGTATAAAAATAGGTCCAAGCAGCACACTCACTTTGTGTGTCATTCTACCCTCTACCTGCTGGTCGGGTTAGGTGTTTGACCTCCCGAGGTTCTATGGGGACGCCCACTTCGTATTTTCGTCTTTCCTAGGAATTGAGGGACCGGCCCTGGCCTGACATGCTGGAGTCGAGAGGCACAGAAGGGGGTAAAAATTGTACCTGGATGTGGTCCTCTATCTTAAGTGTACACATAGAAAGAGTAAGCTGTTACTTGGTACCATTATTTCTATTTTTCTATCTTTATCTTCTTTGTAACCATTTTTAAGATCTATATTTTGCTAGTAGTTAAGAAATAGAGCAATAGCCATTGTAACCATATGATTTATAAGCTTCTTTAATAAGCCTGTAACTGTTTAAGTTTTAACCTGACTCCTTCAGTTGCTGTAACAGAACCAAGCACAATTTAAAAACTTCAGCCGGTCTTAAGGGACAGATATAGGGAAAGCTTGGGCGTTTGGATTTGTGTCACTCCCAGGTGGCAGATCCGTCGGGGCACTTCTCAGCCTCCCCCAGGCTGCCCGCTGCGAAGGAATCACAGATTCTAGCAGCTAAAATCTGAAGTGTTATAAGCTCTCCCTGTACACTTATTGTCACCCGTCAGCCTCTTCCAGGTTGCCTGCTGCAAGGGACCCTGGTCTCAGCAGTTAAAGTCTCGGGTATATAGCACATACACACTGCCCTGACCGTCGGCTGACAGCCTGAGAGCAAAAGTTCTCTGTTCCAGCATATTTGGGCTAGTTAGTGTCTGTTTCTGAAGCTGAAGATGAAATCCCTCTTTTTAAAGAGTATGCCCATACCAGTATAGCAAGCCACTAAGCAGTGACAATTAAAGTATAAGTTATTTTCTTCAAAACCAGAATTATTAAATGGGACTCTGAATTATATTATCTACTAGCAGAAATACCCGGTGTCACCCAGGGAAAATATAGTAGAAGGTGAGATGAATGAACTACGTCAATTACATTAACATAGCATATTTTATTGGAAATACTTTTCTCTTATATATTACTTTAAGAAATTAACATAGCTAGTACTTCTGTTATCACAGCGAAAGGATCTCGTAGTTGCAGTTTGAGACATGCTTAAGAGAAGAGTTTAGCAAATACCTATGATCAGGCACTACTAAAAGCTAATTAGTGGCCCAACTGGGGCTCTGGGGGCACCAATTATGAGATATAATCAATCCAGTTATTTAAGTTAGGAAATCAGTTGTATCCATGCAAAATTTGGTGTTTCTAGTTCTTACTGTTTCTGAGATCTTTCGGAACAAACAAACAAACTAACTTTCAGAAATATTTATAAAAGATGATCACTTTTATTGTTCAGAGAAATTTTAATGCCAAATAACTCAAGATAGTGATAATCACAGAATCATAGAACTGGGAGGAACCCTGAGAGGTCATCAAGTCATCAGTATCTCAGTGGTGATGCTGGGTAGATGAGAATTCTTTACAAATAGGAAAATGATATTCAGTAGATTATAACTCTTCCAATTACATCTTACCTGAGATATTTAAAAAACATATTCCAGTTATGTCATATTCATAAGCATATTTTCATAAAGGATATGGAATGTTCCATCACACTAGTTTCCCCAAACTTACACTACATTTGAGGTAACACACTTTCCAAAGAATAACCATAACACATACTAAAGCTAAAGATGAAGTTCAAAAGGGTCATACAAAAAAGCCTTTAAAACAGCAGTTCCCAACCTTTTCCAGATGGGGACCCATTTTGACAATTTAGGAAGACTTGGTGACCCAAGGCAATTCAAAAACAGGGGAGGGGGGGGCAGAGCCACCTGGGGAGACACTTGGCAACCCTTTTGAAACGTAATGGAGACCCATATTTGGGTCCCAACCCATAGGTTGGGAAATCTGGATTTAAAAGGTAGGTTGGCTAGTTACAGTTTCAAACTGAGCTGTGGAACAATCACCTCCTCTATAAAAGCTTAGGGGAGGGGAGGCCTCAGGCATGGGGGCCAGACGCAGCCCCTGGCTTGCCTGGATCCAGCCCTTGAGGCTCAGGGGGGCCCCTTGCATTGAGAAGCCTGTGCTGGCACTCCAGCCCCCTCCTCCTCCTACCACAGGGCTGAAGCACACAAAATCTACTAGGCTGGGACCCCCCTCAGCTCTAACGAACAAGTGTAATGTGAAGAGTGTCTTTCTCCTTCTCAAAAAAAATTTAAAAACTAATAGTCTTTCAGCACCTTAAAGATTAACAAACCATGCTGCAATTGGACCAAGAACAGTTGACAAAAACCATCAGTATGTCATTCACTTTTTTGAGAATAATAGGCAGAAATACTTATCTGTTCAAAGCATTATGGTGCAAGGGTTTCAATTCCCATTCTCTCCTTACAGCTCTCTGGATGAAGCTTCCATTTAAATAATTATTTCTAAACAGATTTGCATAGCACTCAAATACAAAGAAGAAATGTTAAAGAGCCTAATTTGCATAACACTCAATCTATAGCCATAAGCACCATATGATGCCATGTAAGCTTTGATCCTGGTAAATGAAAAGAGAAGAGGACAAAATCGTGAATCTCTACCTTTCAACATCTACACAAATGATCAATCAATCCATCTCAGCACAAGAAGTTAGATCTATACCAATAACCAGTGCTTCACCGCGTAAGTCAAAGATCTTGCCCACCCAAACACTACATTAACATCAGTGCTGACTGGGTTCTCAGTCCAATACACTGTGAACTAATTATGCCCCAATCAAGCCAACAGACAATTCAAATAGAATGGGCTATCACTTGTCCACTGCTGGAATCCTGACTACCTTGGAGCAAACACTATACTGCACTCTCTTCAAAGCATAGGTGAAGACGACAAAAGGAAAACTTTATAACCAGAACATACACAGGAAGCTTGTAAACTCAAAATGGGGAACCAATTCAACTGCCATCAACCTTGTACGGGTTGAATCTCTCTAGTCTTGCACCTTCAGGACCTGACTGGTGCTGAACCAGAGAATTTACTGGACCATGGGAGATCAATATTGTCTAGCGACATTATCAACACTTCCATTACTTACAGATTCTTAGAAGACATTTAGGGTTAAATTAGAGCTAAATAATAGCACAGAGGACTGAGAACTAGAAATAGTGGCTGTAAACAACATTTATGGGACTGTGGGAACTTGGCCACACCCATTTTAAGTGGATATCTGGGTAACTAAAATATGCCGGACCATGGATATTGCCGGACTAGAGAGGTTCAACCTGTACTCTGTAAACTGATTGCCAAATATGCACTTTCAATGTGGGAAAAATTGACTTGCACAAAGAAGCTATACTCTGTGCTGAATGAGAACTGCTGCTACATTTCAGGATGTCTAAAATTAATACATGTGAATAGTTTCTATGTGTTTTCCAGAACTGCTCCACCTAATATTAAGAGAGCTTTCACAAAAATGGAAAAAGATATCCAATACCACTACATGGCTATACTACAGCAATTAGCTGACTGAAATCATGGAAATGATTCCTAGCAGCAACAGAACCACTTAAAAAATTACCAGCAGCTATATAACTGAAAATGTTGCACACGTGACTTGAAATATTCAGCGAGAATACCAAAATGCATAATCACATTGCCAAATGCTTCCCCACAGTTGAGAAAGATTAGTTAACCTGAGATGTTTAAAGCACTTTTGAATAAGAGTTGGCAGGTCAAAAGACAATGTGCAGAAGTGGGGCCATTATTCCAAGGACCCAGATACATGTGTCTGCAGTGAAACCCAAATCATGGAACTTCTGTTTATCTGCTTGCTCCTGGAGGAACTGTGCACCATGGAAGGATCTCACCAGGCTATATCATATTCCTAATATTAGAAAAATCTATCATAGTAGTGTAAAGGAGGAAGGAAGACAATCCAACAAAAGCTACTAATACTCTGACTTTTTCCTGGAATACTCCAGGAAGATGGGATGACTACAAAAGTATAGGACACCACCCCCCAACTTGGATTTAGCTGGAATGCAATTCCTTGTTACTCTTCTGGGGACTTGTACTAGCCCAACCACCCTAGTACATATATTCTCAGCCAAGCTCTCCAGCCAGGTTCAAGTATGTTCCAAGGAAGGACTGGAGTCTTCAATCATATCATGGAAATGATAGAGACTTATTTACAGGGGAGACATCCTGAGAGGCCAAGAGGTGGTCAGAAACATGGATAACCTATTCCAATGGGGACTGAAGCTTCAAGACAGTGCAAATAGGAGACTTCACAGGTCTGTGACTACCTGTCTCACTGGTTGTCTCATTCTCCCCTTTCTTTTCCAGAAAATCATAAATTGCTGCATTCTCTTTTATTTCTATGTAGAAATATCAAGGGAGTCATATTTGGACAGACCAATGCCCAGGTCACTGATTGGCTAGTATGATATGATCACAGAACATGATGACAGTATATCTAGCTAGTATTCTTAGTAAATTTATAGTAACACTGCCTTGTAAGATTATGAGATTATCGGAAACAGACCAAGGTAGAATACTTAATTTTTGGTGGCAGAACCACCACAGAAGACTTCTTAGATACAGGAACAAGTTTGTTCATCTTGAGTATATATTCCTATGGAGTGCAATAAGGACGGGTGAGGTTGCTACATCCTAAGGAAAAAAAAAATCACATACCACTCTTACCCTTCATCACTCTTTGAGAAGACTAGCCTGAGTTCTGAGGACAAAGACTGTGATTGTACATAGCTCTATATAGCTTTGTTGGGCAGTGTGGGCATCTTTCCAGGGCTAGTTAATTTTTCAAGTCCAAGGAGTTCAAGATGCTTGTCTGATGACATAGAGATGGCTGACCAATGTTTTCTGCCAAGCTGATGACATTCATTGTGAAGTCTCACTTAATAGAGTGGACTCCTTGAAGGCTGACACCAAGTACAACATGGGGGTACTTCAGCATCAGTGTTGAGAACATGTTCAATAGCACTTGTATAATCAATAGATGAATATTGTGCACAAGTATGGAGCAGATGCAGCCCCATGTGACTTGTGCAAATCCAGCTGAACACAGTAATGCAATGTATCATGGGAATATTTAAGTAAACTCCAACACCATGACTACCTATCCTGTCTGAAATCACTACTCCACCCATACACCAAATTGCTGCACCATTCTGTGAAGCTTAGCAAACCCAGGAAAACAGATGTCTGCCTATTCACCAAGACCCAGGAAAACAGATGTCTGCCTATTCACCAAGACCTGGACATAGTCCTCCTGCTCCATCTTAAGTCCTGCTCCCTCTCTCGCAACATCTTAAGTCCTGAAGACTTTCTGGGAATATTCATTTAGCCTGGTACAATTAGGCTATGATCAGAAGGAGACTGGGAAAGCAGAGTAGGCTAAACCAGACTTAAAAAGTAAATCCCTTGACCAATTCCCATGTGGAAGCTTCCTGGGTTTGACCTTCCACGGGCATATGGTCAATTCTGAACGGAATTTGAACCAACCACAATAAATGCAGATATTGGACGTATAAATGGAAAATCAACAACTCCCCGGTGTGGTAGCGTGGTTCCCCATGAAACCATCAAGCATACCATAACCTACTGCCTAATTCATATATATGAAGAAGGCACTAATCCAATAAATTCTGTTACTCCTGAGGTAGCCATTTTGCTCAATCAACTTCAGGTGAAACTGTAATTGCTGCTCAACACCAGCCATATGAAAAAAGCAGCAAACCAAGGATACATACTCCAGAATAGTTTCAAAGTAATAAACAGAAGTAAGATTGGGAGGCAAAACATTAATAAAGCACAACTAGTTAAATTTCTTAACTACCTATATATTATGGTACTGTAGCACTTCAAATATAGACACAAATCACATCAAAGTTTTTAGACCGTGACGGAGTTACCAAAAGTAGTATCACACTTAATAAAAATCAGTAGAGTCCACTAGCTGAAGTATAGACTAATGCTGTAATACAAGTTTGGTCTTTGCTTCTTTTCCCATCTCTTCAACTGTGATGGGTGTATAAATTTCACACTAGAACTGAAAAGGTTCAACGGCAACTCTACAAATGACCCTGCCTAGGCACACTTGCAGAGAATGATCGAGACATAGGAGAATATTTAAAAAGGAAGCTAGAAAGATCAGAAAAGAGCTGACCAGCAAGAGTGAAAGTAACAAATTTCTTAAAGGTACTGCTGTATATCAAATCCTCCTGGGGGCAGAAGGGGGGACCCTCAGGGCAGAGCTGGGGGAGGGATTATAAGTGTGGGTGGGGTAGAGTGTAGGGGGACTCAAGGTAAGAGACTGGGAAGTGTTGTAGTGGAGGGGGGAGCGCTCAGGACAGGGGATGAGAATGTGGAGGGGTGCAGGAGTAGGGCAAGAGGCTAAGGCATAGGAGGCTTGGGAAAGAATGTTGGAGTGTGGGTAGCGGGTACGGGAATGGCAGGGGGTCAACTGGATTCTTGCCCGAGCCCTTAATCACCATCAATTTCAGTCACTGCTTGAAAAAGTTAATTTCAAATACCATGATCTATTAATGCACAGCAATGTGACAAAGTTTTGTCTAGTTTTGCTGCCTGCATTAACAACATTAAGTCATTTTTGGGTGTCGAAAACACTGAGCTTTCAGACTGTGACCTGTTGCTCAAGTTTCACTGTCTCACTAACATTACTAGTCATTTGAATGAGCAGAAGCTTAAGCCACAAGAGCAAGGAAATACAGTCCTGACTCTGCAGCAGGCAATGTTTGGATCTGAGTCAAAATTGACTATCTTAAACGATACTGAGATGGGCAGACTGGTGGCACATTTCAAAACATTATGAATACTTCCTGATTCCTATCAGAAAGAGAATTAAAACAACAGCCTTGATTTGCAGCAGCTGTCCTAGTTTGTTTGAGCTCCTGATGGCATTCAAGTATTGTTTTGTTGACTTTTGCAAACACAGTGCTCTGCTGAAGTTGATGATTTGTCCACATGAAGCATCCTTTGAAGAACTGGATTTGACAGTCTTCTGTCAGTCAGTCATTTAGAAATAGAAATAGCAGATTTCAAGGAGTCAGATATCGAGGTGGAAAAATTCGTTACGCTGAATTCTGATTTCGAATGCCTTGCTCAACAACATGAACTGGCAAAACTGCACAAATGGCAGACAAAGCACCACAATAATCTGATTCTGAACACTTGGAAAGAACTTCCTGTCACATATTCTGCATGGCAATGTGTCAGGTTGACCTTACTTTAAACGTTTGGCTCCAACTATATGTGAGAGCAAGCTTTCTGTCATTTGAATCACAAAGGTAATTTGCGCTCAAGGCTGACAGACAGCCTGAATGGGTGCATGAAGCTGAATTTGACCATTTATTATGTAAACTTCAAAGAACTGTGCAAAAAGATACAGAAGCAGAAGTCCCATTGAATTAAGTCTGTGAATACAAGGTTTCATTTAAGTTATTATTAATCATCATGTCAATTATCAATAATATTAAGATGCATATTTTTAGTCATGCAAATGGACATTCTTATACTGGCTCTTCGTTGACCACTTGTTCTTAATTTTGATGTAATTTAGCTCTTAGGTTTGAAGAAGTTGCTGACCCCTGCTCGAGATTAACATACAAAAGGGTAAGAACGACAGGAACCTCGACGAGCACAGAGGCAACACTCGTGCTATATAGAAACTCTCTGATATTTATAAAGTATACTCATACATTTAGCAGAGTCACAAACATTCCAGTTCAGTAAGGTAGAGAGAGATATTACAGAACATTCATGTCAACATCCCTGGCAGAACAAACTTTGATATCAGTCAGCCGTCATCTTCCTTATCATCAGTGGCCACCATACTGGCACCTCCCAAAGGCTGCATCTTTCTCTCCCCTACTACTTTTGGCTGCGTACTTCCACTGTCAAACCTGAGGCTGGGATGCAACTTTTCTGATATACACTGATGCCACTATGTTTGATGTAAATTCAGTTGGGGGGTTTCTCCCATCTTCCTTATTTGTACAGCCTTATTTTACTAATGTTGAACTATTCTTCTCCTATAGGTTAATGTATCAATGAGCTCAACTTATCATATACATCATAGAATCATAGGACTGGAAGGGACCTCGAGAGGTCATCAAGTCCAGCCCCCCCACCCTCAAGACAGGACCAAGCTCTGTCTACACCATCCCTGACAGATGTCTATCTAACCTGTTCTTAAATATCTCCAGAGAGGGAGATTCCACCACCTCCCTTGGCAATTTATTCCAATATTTGACCACCCTGACAGTTAGGAATTTTTTCCTAATGTCCAATCTAAACCTCCCCTGCTGCACTTTAAGCCCATTACTCCTTGTCCTGTCCTCAGAAACCAAGAGGAACAAATTTTCTCCTTCCTCCTTGTGACACCCTTTTAGATATTTGAAAACCGCTATCATGTCCCCCCTTAATCTTCTTTTTTCCAAACTAAACAAGCCCAGTTCATGAAGCCTGGCTTCATAGGTCATGTTCTCTAGACCTTTAATCATTCTTGTTGCTCTTCTCTGTACCCTTTCCAATTTCTCCACATCTTTCTTGAAATGTGGCGCCCAGAACTGGACACAGTACTCCAGCTGAGGCCTAACTAGTGCAGAGTAGAGCGGCAGAATGACTTCACGAGTTTTGCTTACAACACACCTGTTGATACAACCTAGAATCATATTTGCTTTTTTTGCAACAGCATCACACTGTTGACTCATATTCAACTTGTGGTCCACTATGACCCCTAGATCCCTTTCCGCCATGCTCCTTCCTAGACAGTCGCTTCCCATCTTGTATGTATGGAACTGATTGTTCCTTCCTAAGTGGAGCACTTTGCATTTCTCTTTATTAAACCTCATCCTGTTTACCTCTGACCATTTCTCTAACTTGCTAAGGTCATTTTGAATTATGTCCCTATCCTCCAAAGAAGTTGCAACCCCACCCAGTTTGGTATCATCTGCAAACTTAATAAGCGTACTCTCTATCCCAATATCTACATCATTGATGAAGATATTGAATAGTACGGGTCCCAAAACAGACCCTTGCGGAACTCCACTTGTTATCCCTTTCCAGCAGGATTTAGCACCGTTAACAACAACTCTCTGACTACGGTTATCCAGCCAATTATGCACCCACCTTATCGTGGCCCTATCTAAGTTATATTTGCCTAGTTTATCAATAAGAATATCATGCGAGACCGTATCAAATGCCTTACTAAAGTCTAGGTATATGACATCCACCGCTTCTCCCTTATCCACAAGGCTCGTTATCTTATCAAAGAAAGGTATCAGATTAGTTTGGCATGACTTGTTCTTCATAAACCCATGCTGGCTATTCCCTATCACTTTATTACCTTCCAAGTGTTTGCATATGATTTCCTTAATTACCTGCTCCATTATCTTCCCTGGGACAGACGTTAAACTGACCGGTCTGTAGTTTCCTGGGTTGTTCTTATTCCCCTTTTTATAGATGGGCACAATATTTGCCCTTTTCCAGTCTTCTGGAATCTCCCCTGTCTTCCATGATTTTTCAAAGATCATAGCTAAAGGCTCAGATACCTCCTCTATCAGCTCCTTGAGTATCCTGGGATGCATTTCATCAGGACCTGGTGACTTGCTGACATCTAACTTTCCTAAGTGATTTTTAACTTGTTCTTTGTGTATCCTATCTTCTAAACTTACCCTCTCTCTGCTTGTAATTCACTACATTAGGCACTCCTCCAGACTTCTCAGTGAAGACCGAAACAAAGAAACATCATTTCATTACTTTTTTGATTGGGTCATGTTCCTGTAATCAGTTAAGCACTCTATTTTCAGTTCCCCAGTACTTGGAGTTTTCTGTTCAAATGTTTATCTACATCAAAGTTCATATGCTTCAAGCTTTATACGAATACTGCTGAAGCTATCATTTTATAGGATACATACCTATAGATTCCCTGTATTACTGCTGAATTTAATAAAGGTAAACTAGCTCTATGAGCCACACTAGACCTGGCAACTGAAGGTCAGGCAGTACCTATCTCTATTACTAGTTCATCATACACTGCAAAACTTGGGACTACAGAAAGAGTAGGTGGTAGGAAGGCCTTAGGGTGCCCCTGGGTATTGAGCCCTTGCTAACTCTTAGAGGACCTTGGGCCTGAGCACAGTGTAATAGTGGGGCTTGGTCACCCCTACAAATCACCTCTGCATTAAAGGAGGGCCCAACCCACTAACCCTTAGGTGACACTACCAAAAGCACCATCCATCATACATAGTAATAGCAGATATACTCCTTGATCATGGGGTATAAACTAGGGATGTAAAATTGCATTGAATTAATAAACTGGTTAAACATGAAGTTTAAGCAATTAATCTATAAAACAGGTTCAGATGGGGGAGCTGGAGTGCCCCGCCCTTCCCCCATCACAGATGAGGGGTCTTCTGGCTGGGCTGGAGTGCCCCTCACCCACAGCCAGCTCCACAGGACTGAAGCAGCCCTTTGCCCTGGGGGGTCTGCTCCAGCCCCCACCAATTAATCATTAACTTCCCTAGTATGAACACTAACCTGAAATTCCTGCTTTTGGCTGCTGTCCTTCCAACTGTCAAACTGAAGCAAAATATCAATGAACCACAGAATTCTCTACATGCTGATTTAAATGCAAAGTAGCTGTCAGCCAATACACTGAGGAACTGCAATCTCCCAGGAAAGGCACCTCTCTCCCCGAACAACAATAAAGTTGCTATTTATTTCAGTTTTACTACTTAATAAGGCTTGAACTGAATGCCAACCGTAAATATTAAATTAAAAAAATGTAATACGGCAAAACAAATTGTTGAAGTGGCACTTACTTTGATTTATAACAAAAGGAAAAAAATAAAATTTCCCCTTAAATATTTTATTAGGCAGGATATTGTCGAGTTTTAAACTTAAATTCTTTCCCCCTGCATTCCCTTCTGTGAATCTTCACTAACTCTCAACATTAGCAGTTGCTTTTAGAATTCAGTGCTAAAGAAAGAACATAAGCCTAATATCACATTTGGAAAGCTGAGTGAAAACTGGCACAAGCTAGCATGTGGGGGTAGCCAAGATACCATAGATATGCACCATTGAGTGAATAGCACCAAGTGTGAAAACTACAGCATCATAAGGTACAAAATCATCCAATCAAATATATGGACAATACCCTCTGCATTAGGCATGTCCATAGTGCAAAAGTTATGTCCTTAACTTCAGAAGTCAAACCCAAGTCAAAGGACTCAACCATTCTTCAGCATAACATTTTTTATTTTTCTCTTCACCATTAAATTTCCTTTACACTTTTTTAAAGAGGAAAGGAATTCATATTCCTTAGCATACTAAACTTTTATAGCTCCTATGTGAAATCAAGACAGATGAACGTGCATTGCCTCCTCTCAGAGCTGTCCAATTTACTCATACCTCTGGCATGTACTAAAAATCACATACTCTATTTGTCCACAGTTATGCCCTTCTACTATCATCTGACACTCATGACCTATTATAACTTATGGTATGATACACTTAACCCTTTATATATTTTAAGTCATGTTACATTAGAATAATTCAGAGAGCTCATTTTGTGTGTTTCACATCACAGGAAGCCATGGATTTTTGTAGTAACTTTTTTGGCACTATAAAACCGTACTGTTTCCACAGCATCAGGGAATTCTAAATTTAAACATGTCATGCCCATACCGCTAAAGTCAAGTATGTTACTTACTGAGGAGCCCACAAGATTTAGGATGTCAGTGCAAAACCAACAGTAGTTTAATCAAACAGTCTAAATAATGGCTTACAATGATCTTGATGAATTAGTAATCTCAAAAAAAGAAATGGCTGGCACCAAATTTTAACAATCCACACATGGGGTGCCAATTCATTTTGATAAATATCAGTAAGCAAAGTTTACTTCTTGTAAGTTATTCCAAATCAGATCAATTCAAACTAGCCTCCAATAATCAGTAAGGTTTAGGATTCTCCCTAAACAACATGGTTCATTTCTGGCTTAATTCACATATAAGCACAGCTTCTTTTAGAGCTTTTAAGAAAAAGTTATCACTCAGAGAAAGCAGTACTAGAGAGCTAGACAGAAGTTATTTTTTCCTTAAAAGCCATTGATTTAAACATGAAAGCAGAATGCAAGCTTCCCAGGAAGGTGGCATACTTACAATTTTTAGTACTACTCCAACCTTTATCTTAAAAGACTAATATTTTAATTTAAAGTTATATTGCAATTTGGGAATTAAAAGGGAAAGTATCTAAGGAGTACATCTTGGCATCTCCTCTTTAAATTTGGAAATTGATTCTTAGTTGGTCTCTCATTGCAAACTGTTCTAAAGAACCTGTACAAAGAAAACTCTTTGGCTATGTCTAGACTGGCATGATTTTCCACAAATTTTTTTTTAACAGAAAAGTTTTTCCGTTAAAAGCATTTGCAGAAGAGCATCTAGATTGGCACGGATGCTTTTGCACAAAAGCACTTTTTGCGGAAAAGCATCCATTCCAATTTAGACATGGTTTTGCACAAGAAAGCCCCGATCGCCATTTTCGCCATTGGAGCTTTTTTGCGCAAAACAGTTTTTAGCTGTCTACACTGGCCCTCTTGTGCGAAAGCATTTGCGCAAGAAGGCTTTTTCCCCCGAACAGGAGCAGCATAGTATTTGTGCAAGAACACTGACAATCTTATATTAGATTGTCAGTGTTCTTGTGCAAATTCAAGCGGCCAGTGTAGACAGCTGGCAAGTTTTTCCGCAAAAGCAATTGCTTTTGCAGAAAACCTAGCCAGTCTAGACGCAGCCTTTAAGTATGTAAATAGCTAAGAATTCCTTTTCTGTCAGTGACCAAAACAATGTGTCTCTTTCAGAAAGATATACTCTGCAAGCAAAGTCACTCTTTTAAATGCACATATGGGTTTGTGAAAAAGCAAGCTTGAATCCAAATGGCATTTCTGAACTTAATCTGGAACTGTGACAACATCAATGACACATTATCAATCTGCTTTTATATTGCAGTATCCCAAGTAATTAAACATTCTGTGGTTAATATTAAATATTTCCACAACTGTTTCCAATTGCTAAGGATATTTAAACAGAAAGGAAACCAACTTTGTTTAGGAAGTTAGGTTCAATTGCTGATGATCTAATTAAGGACTCTTTGCAGCCCACTTTTAGCAAGTAGGCATGTAATCCTCTCCCCTTGATTTTACACAATAAGTTTCTTCAGCAGTGATTCTGCACTGGGAAAAAAAGTTGAGCTTTCTTTTATACCGTTTTTCATCTTTTATTTACTTACCAAGTACATAACATCTGCAAACTGTAGCATCATTTCAAAACTTTAAAGTTATAATTTAGAGCTTTGGGCAGATATTTTAAAATAATCAATCTTAGGTCCACACACACGGGGATGTTAAAAATGTAATTAATTAATCATGTAGTCTACAAAAATTTTGTCGACTACACAATTAATTAATAAGGGTTAGAATGAGAGCACTCAGTCCCAGCTTGTTCTAGGTCCCGGGAGCTATCCCCACTGCAACTCTGAACTAACAGTTATTGCAGAGTCGCAGCAGGGGTAGCTCCCAGGAGCCGTCAACACAAGCCAGGACTGAGCCAGGCTGCAGGCATTACTAGCAGAGCCTCAGGGCGGTGGGGAAGAGGGCTTTGAAGTACCTGGTATCTTTAACCGATAAGCATCCGGTTATTGGTTAATTGTTTAACCAACTACACTATTACATCCCTAATATGTTAATTCCTCAACTCCCATGAATTGACATTAAAAGAAAAAAAAATAATCACCCAAGTCCATGCATCAAGACTCCGCACTCTAGCTCAAGCATTTACATGGTTTAGTGCTCCAAGGGCAACTAGTGCCTGCAGAGGGAGGGCAACTCACAAGGGGAGGGAGAGGCATGTGGGGGCAACAGCTGCTGGCCAGGATCCTGGCTCTGAAGGCAGAGCTGCCACCAGCAGCAGCATAGAAGGATGACATTGTATTGTATCGCCAGCCTTACTTCTGTGCTTCTACTTACAGAGCTGGGCCCTAAGTCATCAGCCACCACTCTACAGCCACCCTGCTCTGAAGCCAGCAGAACAGAAATCAAGGAGGCATAGCATGGTATTAACATCCTTATTTCGGCACTGCTAGCAGGGCAATACCTTCAGAGCTGGACACCAAGCCAACAAGTGCTGCTCTGCAACTGCTGAGCTCTGAAGAAAATGCAGAACAAAAAGGTGACAATGCTACTAAAAGATCTACCATTTGTGACCTCACTCTCTATATTCTACAGCATGGTTTCTCAAACATTTCTCCATGACTCTTCTGACAACAAAAGTCACTACATGACCTCAGGAGAGGTGATAGAAGCCTGAGCCCATCTGAGCCTCACCACCCCAGACAGGAGGGCCAAAGCCCAAGAGCCTCATCAGGCAAAGCTCCTGAAACCTGAGCCCCACTACCCAGAGCTGAAGCTGAGACTCCCGGGCCCCCAGCCAATCTAACAACAGCTCCAGATCCCATTAAAATCAGGGATGTCAGATATTGTTTATTTTAGTAATCATGTAGCCACAACAATTTCAAGTAGTAACATGGTTACTAAAATGCTCCCCTCAGGGGGCAGGACCAGCACCCAGTGTGTGCCTGGCTCCATTTCCAGGGACCCCTCTGCCACCCCAAGCCGCTGCCTCTGTATCAGAGGCAGCAGCATAGGATGGCAGGTGGAGCTAGTTGAAAGCTAGTTGAAAAATTGGCTCCCCGCATAGACCAGCTCCCGCCTACTGTTCCTGGGGGCCCTGAGCTCCCCATGGACATAGGCTGCTCCAGCATCCTGCCTGTTCCCACCCCAGCACTGCTGCCTATAATAGAGAGGCAGCAGCACAGGGGTGGAGAGGCAGGCAGCTCCAGAGGATCCGGCATTTGTGGGAGCCCTGCTCCCACCCAGGGCTACCAAAATTTATTTTGTAACAGTACCAAACTTTTTGCAAAAAGGTACCAAAACACACAAAAACGTACCAAATTTTAAACATCAATATATAAACCCTATAAAACATCTTAAACAGGAAAAAATACATTTAACTTACATTACATCTTACTAAAACATCGAAATGGAGGAAATACATCCAGCTTACCTTATATTTTGTTAAAAGAGAACTTTTTCGTCAGCTGCTTCATTACTATACCATCTTTTTTGTTGCATTCTATCACAAAGCTCTTTTGGTGGATTCCACATCGTGCAGTTAATGTCTTGAAGTAAAGATTTAGATCTTATTAATGTATTTAAGGTGGACATTTTCAGAGATGTGTGATTTTTAACTTTAATGTTGTTGAGTAAGGAGAAAACTCTTTCAGCAGCTGCTGATGAGTGAGGCAATGAACGAAGATTGATCATAAATTTTGACAACAGAGAGAAGCGATATTCGTCACCGCATTTTTCTTGAGATATGTTAAACCAAAATTTCAGGCATTTTTTCAGCATTAGGAGGTTGATCTTGCATGGTCAGCTCCCTCCATTCTTTATTTGTTCATAATGTTCTTCATCGACTAGGTTAGAAAATTTCATAACTAGTAGGATAATTGATTTAGGCCTTCCCTCAATAACATTAGCTGGGTCCAATGCCTCAAGCAACTCCAATTTTGCAAACAATTCTCAAGATAAAAAGCGCTGAAACATCTGCTTTGTAAGGCAAACATAGAAATTTAAAATTTTTACTCGAAATTCTTGCAATTCTTTCCGGGAAATTTTTGTTAAATTATCCAGGTAAATGCTTTCTACAGTGGCACCACAATAAATGTCATCTATCCTGAAATATGTTGAAGGATCATTAATATTGATTACTTCTATCATTAGGTTTCAAAATTTCTCACGATGAAATTACTGAGAATCCCTTTAACACTAGTATTAATAGAATTCCTTAACTTATGAATTCTAAATGTTTCTGCTTGATACTCCAAATTGAGCTTATTGATGTCAGGCAAAATGTAAGCTAAGAAAGCATAATACATTTTTGTAATGGGATTTTGTAATCCCTCTAGAATTCTTGAAGCCATAGGAATGCCATCTTCTAATGCAGCAGATGTAAAGAACAATAAAAGTGCAGGCCATTGTTCTAAAATTCTTTTCACCACTTGCTCAAGGGAAAGCCATCTTGTGCAGCTAATGTGGAGAATTTTTTGAGGATTGGTATTTGTAAATGTTTGAAATTCTTTATATTCATTTAGGCGCTTAGGACTATTGCTCAAATATGAAAAAATATTTCTGGCTAACTCTTCTAAATAATGTGGCAGTGCAGTGCAGGCTTTAGAAGCACACAAGTGCAATGAATGGCAAACACAAGGTTGTATGAAGATATGAGGATTTTTCTGTTTTAAGAGATGCTGGACTCCTCCTTTGCTTCCCATCATAACACTAGCATTATCGCTGGCAAATCCTATTAGGTTTTCAAAGGGGATTTCATTACTGTTAAAAAAAGCCTCTATGCAATTATAAATTCCAAGAGCAGTTGTGTCTTTAATTTCTAAAAGTGTTAGAAATTTGTCCACTGTTTTTTGAACGTCAGCATCATAATGTCTAGCTACCAGAACAAGTTGTTTGATAGTAGAAATGTCTGTTGTCTCATCAATAATAAGAGAAAATTTTGTCACCTTCAACTTAGATACTAGGTTACTGAAGTCATGTTCACCAATCACATTAGAAAAAATGTATGTTCCTTTGGTTCTAGCACACTTGATATCCTTTGCTATTTTTGAATCTGAACAAATGTTTGCAACAAGGCCAGGCAAATGATCCAAAAGGGCTATAGGTAAATTGTGTTCTGCAATGAATCCACACAGTTTAAGCTCAGCAGCTGCTATCTATGCTGAGTGAATAGAGGATGGACCAGATTTCATAAAAGTCAGTTACTTTTGAAGTTTGTTTTGTAGAGCTTAGGTTTTTTTGATGCTTTTCTGTGTTTTCATGTCTTTCAATTTGACTTAAACTACCAGCAAGTTCACAATTGCATAAGTTGCAGAAACCTTTACCTGAGTTGTATTTACTAACTACTAGCCAGCCAGAAAATTTTTCGTGTGTCAATAATTTCAACGTCAATTTTCTTTCATAAGAAGCTGTACACTTTTGTTTCTTTTTCTTTGGAGTATTATCCTTATTTTCATCACTATCTGAACGAATATCCATATTTTTCTCTTCATTCATAATGGGTTCACAAAAAACAACGTGAAAACACAAAATGTTCACAAAGGACTTGTAAAAGTAAGCAAACAATGCCGAGTAACCGGAACACAGCGCTAACTGCATCACTGCAACTCAAACTGGCGGCAGGGCCAGTGACGCGGCCACATGAAGTGGAGGAATACATCACATGATTGCATCACATTACACAATACACACATTCACAGTTTCCTCTCCCCAGTCTTCATTTGCATAATAAACTGAAAAGATATTAATGAACATATATCAGATGTAAGAAATGTTAACGTTTTAAAAATGAGCGTGAAACATAAAATTATAACTTAGAGGCTTCTGAGCAAAAATTTATAATATTAACACAAAATTCTTAAAATGTACCAAAAATATTGGGCGTTGTACCAAACGTACAACAGGAGGTAAATAGTACCAATTTTGTACGAATGTACCAACTTTGGCAGCCCTGCTCCCACCTGTCCCCTGCACTGCTGCATCTGTGGGAGGCAGCGGGAAGAGGAAGGAACAGGTGGCTCCGTGGGAGCCCACTGCCTACACGCAGCACCACCCACATCTCCCCCCGCCTCTGATACATAAGCAGCAAGAGGGAGGGGTGCACGTAGTGGTCTGGATTAACCAATAAGGCAAGGCTTCTCAATTAATCATTTAAATTACTATATCCTAACATCCCTAATTAAAATGGGATCATGAGTCATGACCCCATTTGGTGTCCCAACCCACAGTTTAAGAACCACTCCTGTACCAATAAGGCAGATCATGCTGGTCCATAAGCTCTTTACTTTTCACAACCATAGTAAGTCACCCTGCCAGGTTTGCATCACACAAACATGGTCAACAGCTGCTTTACAGTCCCTCAGAGTTTATTAATGGTACTGAAACACAGAATTAGCCACAGAAGCAAAAAATAATCTCACTTTCATATATATATATCACACACACACACACACACACCTACCTAGTCAGGAGACTGCATCCTATCTTATGAGAGAGATCTGGTTACAATGATCTACATATGTCATTGCCAGGCTCTATTATTGCAACTTATATCTAGGATTGAAGCCAGACACACTGAAAGGTTTTTGGCAGATAGTACTGTATCTGTTTAACACCACATGTCACTGCAAACACGTCCTGGTATTCTGTTCTCAGAGGCTCTCTACTGAATAGAAAATCCATTTCAAGCTCTCAGTCTCTGATATGTGAAGTTACAGCCAATCCCTTGGACGTAGTTATCCAAAAGAATCTTTCTTCCTGTATCCATGTTCCATGATAAATACCCCAGAAAAACACTGGCACAGTTGACCAACAGAGAGACTCAAGAAGCAGAATTTTCATAACAGCTGGACTTAAAACTATGAATTTTGCTTCGGCACAAGAGCAGTTTTGGACACTGCTTAGAACTAAATTGCAAAATTAATTTCTTCCACTTAGTTTTCTCTCATTTTCCTATCACAATCTTCCGTCAGAGAGCCCAGAACCATAAGCCACTATCTCCAAGAGAAAGCTTTGTTCGAGCTTAAAATTGTACATCAGCTCCCAACCAGACCAGTCAGTCCTCCTAACCAGAGACTCTGCAAGTCTCAATGTTGCCTTGTAGGTAGTATTCAGTGAACCACAGTTTCCAAGTTCCCCAGAGGCATACGCCACTCCCTCTCATTGTCCTCTTACAGAAATTAACCAAACCCACTGTTTCCAAAGAGAAAATGTATAAGCCTGCTAGGACAAGTGAGAATGCACATTTAAATTAGTTTAACAGCACTGACATGGTATATTGTATAAATAAGCATAAGTTTATTAATAAAGAACATAGATGTAAATGATACTAAGCAAGAGAGTAAAGAGACAGGTACAGTTACAAACAAAACAAAAACATGCTTTTTCACTTGCACCAAGTGATAATTTTCTCCAGTCCCTCAAACAGGAGGATTCACCATTCATAGAATCAGAGAAGCTGTTCCCTTTATTCCTTAAGTGATGGGTAACTAAAAGATTTTCTTCCTTTCTTTTTAAATATATTCCTTCAAAATGCATACCGAGTTTCTCCTCGCCCCCACTGGTGTGCAGACTTCATGGTTCCTCTTACCAATTTGCTTTTTCATTTGGCTTGCTCATTTTGTTTATTATTGTTCTTCACCTATAAACAAGCCAGGGAGGCAGGTAAACATTGTCTAGGGCAGACTTGTTTATCTATTACCTGCAAAATATATTTTAAGCACACATACATGTATCTATATATACATCCACCATGCAGTAATAGTCACAAACAGCATGTCACTAGT